CCCCCCCCTCTTTCTTTCTTGTTGGTGTCGTCCTCTTGGGCTGGTCTCGGTCTCCGCCGGCGCGGCTGCTGTTGTCATGGTGGGCTGTCGTGGCCGAGCTCGGAACAAGTTCTCGCAGCAGACTCCGGCGCGGGCCAGTTCGTCCAGGGTCGCCCCGATCAGCAATCTTGTGTCGACGGCTGGAGGCAGCAGCAGCCGCCGCCGCAACGCTCTGGCGGACGCAACCAACTTTGCAAGCCACTTTGGCGCCAACATCCTCGACGTCGAGGCCCAGGTGGCTTGCCATGACAAGCCCAACTTCAGCCCCCAAGTGCTTCGCAGCTCCGAGCTAGCCTTTGGCAACTTCGTTCAGCATCTCGCCGTCCGAGAGCTGCAGCGCCAGGGCCTCAGCGACTTGGGTCCCGAGCAGGTGGCCACGGCTGCCGATGCCATCCAGACGCAGATCCAATCGCGCGAGCTTTCCGAGCCTCTTGCCACGATCGTCAATGACAGGGACATTTGGGTCTCCTATCTCCACATCTACGCAATGACGGGTCGCGGACAGATCAACAACATCACGATCGAGCATACCAGCATTCGCAATCGGTACCCATCCGCCGCCGCCGCCGCCGCCGACGACGACGACCACGGCGAGGTGGATGGAACAGACGAACCGGTCTCGGGCCATGTCGCCGACGCAGTCCAACCCCCTGCCTCTTTTGACTCGATGGACGCATCCGCCTCGTCTGTGGCTGTCGCCGCTGCCGACGATCTGCCACAGACTCCTGCTGCTGCTGCAGCTGCTTCGACTGTGCCGTCGCTGGCGATCGATCCTCGTCTATTGGACGAACCGTCTGCATCCGATGGCAACCGTCTCGAGGCGAGCCCTGCACCAGAGAGCATCGACCCGAGCGGCCCCCTCGAAGAGGAGCGTGAGCCGCAGGGCATCCGCAACAATGACGGCGGCGGCATTCTCTCTGTCGCCTACACAGGCGTGTACGAGGACTGGGCCGAAGAGTGGGATGATGACGACGATGACGACTATATTGATGGCGACGAGGCTCGCATCTCTGCCGTCGAAGACGAAGAGGAAGAAGAGGAAGAAGAAGAAGAAGAAGGAGGAGGAGGAGGAGGAGG